TGTGGCTCAAGTGGTAGAGCGCTAGCCTTGAGCTGAAGAGCTGAGGGACAGCACCCAGGCCCAGAGTTCAGGCCCCACGACTAGACCCCCCCCCCAAACAAAAAGAAGGAAAAAAGTTCTGCATGATTTCAAACAATCTAATACAAAAGGAAGTTTCCAGGATCTTCTATTGACAGGCTTGATCAGGCTGTAGTATTACTCAAACATTTTTAAGCTGGGCCCTCTCATTTGGGCCTCACTAATAGGGCTAAACTGGGATGCCTGGTTTTAATTACTCTGGCTCCACAGGCCCAGCCTGGAGGCTGCAGCCCCCAGTGCTTGTCACTACTCTGCAAGAAAGCAGTTGATAGAAGCACTGCATTGCACACGATGCTGAGGAGGGACTCCGCAGGAGCAACCTTCTGGAGTTTCTAGTTTGGGAGGATTTCATGACCTTGTGATCTCATAACCAGTTTGCAAGCACTTTGGAATGAGCTTGGAAACAGCCCTCCTTGAAGAACAATGCATCTCCATCTCCGGAGTTGGATGAGATCCTCTGGACAAAGACAAGTCACCAGCAGCTAGGGCCTGCTCCTCAAACCAAGAAAAGGTCAGGCTCGCCTGCTAAATAGAGCCTTGGCAGCTCTTGTACCACAAATGACAGCTGAAGATAACAAAAATTTAGTGTGAGTAGGGTACCAGTGGCTCAGGCCTATTCAGGAGGCTGAGAACAGAGGATCATGGTTTGAAGCCAGCCTAGGAAGGAAAGTCTGGTAGATGGAGGAAGGAGGAGAGAGAGGAGAAGACAGAGATAAAATGATACAGAGACAAATATTGATAAACAGAAAAGTGAAGAGTGGATGACCTATTTCAAATTTTGTCACACAGAGATAAAATCTGACTCTCTTTTCTAATGATTATAGAAAGTGTCAAGCATGTTTATCTCACTATTTTACCTTCATCCATCCATCCATCCATCCATCCATCCATCCATCCATCCATCCAGTTATTTGTAATTCAAGGCTTTTTATATCACATGCCTTATCAGAGCCTCACAGCCAGTCTCTACCTTGAGAATAATGTCCCCAGGCAGTAGCCGGCCATCCCTGGCAATCACTCCATCACGATAAATGTGCTGGATAATGATGTGGACCAATGGGGTTTCATTGCCTCCCACAAGCCTAATGGAGAGGCTTTCATTGGGATCCACTCGATTGATCTTGATACTGGTAATTTCACCATCTGGGATCAGGTGATACAACCTTGGAAAGACTGAAATGAACAAAGACTTATTTAAGACACTCACATAATGGACATTTCTAACCACTTCTCTTGCCAAAGTAAACTGTTCATTGTTTGTCATTTGTGTTTGCCATTTTTCTGCCTCATTGCCCAGGGTAAGTTGCTCTGCTGGAATGCTTTTCATCCTGGGCCTAAACCGAAATTTTCCTTCAAGGTCTGCATGAAATGATCCCTTCCAATTAAACTCTCCTCTGATCCTTTTTCCTTGCTCTCTTAAAACACACCACTTCCTCTCATGGCTTTCTCTCATGGCATCCATACTTCCATTCTTGTCATTCACACCCATTTCTTAGGTCCCCCGCTTGACTCTGGAATCTAGAATCTATCAACTAACTGGCTTTATTATAAGGGAGCACGCAGCTGTGCTAACCTGTATATTCTTGGTTTTAACAGTAGGGTGAATGAGTTCAATTAATGTTTAAACAACTTGGATTACATTAAGCAGGCTGTAGACCACAGCTTGATTTCTGGCATTTCCTTGGTTCTGTACAATCTTAGATCTCTGCCTGCAGCAGCCTTTGATTGATGTCTACTGAGTAAATAGAATGAATGAATGGATGGATGACTGAACAAATGTCTTTATGGAATTAAGTGCAGTGCCATTGCTTTCTTCTTGAAGGACAAAAAATAGAACCTGCTCTGTGGCCCTTTCCATCATTCTGGAGATTTTGTTCTTAAAGACCTGCTCGGGTGTGGGGAATCGTCAGTCCTCTCCATCAGACCCTCCTGTTAATGGAAAGTCAAAAGATCTGATTCAGATTCAAGAATAAGCCAAATCCTAGTTGGTGATTTCTGAAAGTTTGCCCCTGATATGCCCGAGACATTGAATTCAGAGCTGAAAGCAGATTCCAGGAGCATATAAGTCGGTATTTCCAAACTTATTTATTTTCTTTTTGCAGCACCAGGGATTGAAGCCAAGGTTTCATACTTGCTAGAGAAATGTTCTACCATTTGAGATACGCTTCCAGTCATTTTTGCCTTAGTTCTATTGCTTAGATAAAACCTTTTGCTTTGGCCCTGGGCTGACCTCCAGCCCAGCCAGAGGATTATGGCGATCCTCTGAATCTCAGATAGCTACAACCCCAGGTTTGTTCACCATGCCCAGATTGTATATTTTGATTAATTAATTATTTAGTTTATTATGCTGGGTACAGGGGCTTGGACTCAGGGCCTTGTACTCTCCCTTAGCTTTTTTTACTTAAGGTCAGTATCCTATCACTTGAATTACATCTCTACTTCCACATTTTGGCTGGTTAATCGGAGATAAGAGTTTCATGGATTTGTCTGCCAGGGCTGGCTTCAAACCATGATTCTCAGATACCCTCTTGGGCTATGATGATAGGTGTGAGCCCTTCTCCTGTGACCAGAAACAGCTAGTACTGACTGCTGTGCAGCTCTGTAGTGATGGTCAGACCTTTATTTTACACATGGGCTTGCTCAGGCACAAAAAGAGGAAGTAAATAAAGCAGAAAGCTGCAAAATGAGGTCACGTCAGGGTCAGATCAGATCCAAGTTCTTATAACCCATACCTTTATTGCCTGCACAGAGCCCCGATCCCATGTATTCACAGCCAAGATAGATCCACAGGGAACCTGTCCAATGGACTGACTAGCCACAGTACTGAGTGACAGAGAGGAAACTAAGAAGTGCTGGGACTCAGCCCAGGTGAGCCTGGTGGGCAAATGGCCCCTCAGAGCCTCCATCTCAGAGTTAGGAGATAGATGGCTCAGACATTCTGTCTACTATAGCTCCTGACTGCTGTCTTTGCCACAGAGTCTCCTTTTGCTTTATCATCTGCAGAGATACAACACTAGGAGCCTGGTTCTGTATTAACCATTCTTTGGGCCCATTTTCAAAACACACGACCTTGGAACATTTTTCCTAAGTGAATTCAAGTTTTCAGAAACAATGAAGAAAAAATTAGTTATTTGTAAGTATGATGGCGTGGTTGGCAAGGTAATTTAGTGGCAGGAGAAGCTTCAGATATGATAATGTGGGTTCTTAAATTCCATTCTGATTTACTTTAATGTAAGCAACTGAGTTTGCTGAAAGGCTACAAGTAGCCGTCTTAATCTGTCACTTTCCAGTGCTATAAGTGTGTGAGTGATTGAGTTCAATTAGTGTTTAAACTACTCTGATTGCATTAAGTAGGCCAGACCACAAGCATGTGTTGAAACATGTCATGTAACAAGGGAATGGCAATTAAAAAGAAAAATAAATTAAAAAAAGTAAGATCTGAAAATAATCATCAAAACTCTTTTCTCTTTCTCCCCATCTCTCCCTCCTCTCTCTCTCTCTCTCTTTCTTTCTTTTCTTTCTTGCCATTATTGGGGCCTAGGCATTGTCCCTGAGCTTCTTTTGCTCAAGGCTAGCATTCTACCTCTTGAGCCACAGTGCCACTTCCAGCTTTTTCTATGTATGTGGTACTGAGGAATGGAACCCAGGGCCTTGTGTATGCAAGGCAAGCACTCTACCACTGAGCTACCTTCCCAGACCCTCTCCTCTTTCTTAATACATCCTTCCTAACACACTTACAGAGATCATACTCCCTACCCTGAACTACTCAAGGATGTCTTAACTTCATGATGCAAAACAATATACCTAGCCATACTCATAAATGTTTAGATCCTCACTAAAGGAGCTTTAGTGACCCTGGAGAATCAAAACAATTTTTAAACTGCCTTTAGACTTGCCTTAGTCTGGAAAGGGAAGAATTTGCTCAATATTGTGTCCTTGCTTGAGGGATAAAAGATTTAACAATTATTTTCCCTCTGGGTTTATCGTGTGGTAGACATTTATTGAGCTAAACAACATAAATGTATATTTTTAGATGTCATAGTAACCCTATGGAGTAGAGTATTCTCTGTGTAGAAGAAGAGTTGGAATGGCAGCTGGAAGGAGAGTGAGCGCTCTGGTTGGACCATGACAGGGAGTTGGGGGAAACCCAGCCATTTCTTACAGGACTGGGACAGGCCCAGGGAGAGAGAGCACAAGATGAGTGGCTACCCATGTGAAACTAGAAGAAGAGGTCTCACATGACTGCTCATGAAATTTCTGAGGGTCTAATAAATACAGTAGCTGCAAGACTCCTCTGTACCCTGAAGAGTCGAAAGCAGCAGAACTGATGGTTAGAAGTAGTTTCTGGAGCTAGAGGACCCGGGCTAACATCCCAGCCCTAATTAGTTGGCTGATTTTGCATTAGTTACCTTATCTTTTTAGGACTCAGTTCTCTCATCTATACATGTGAAATGGCAATCATTATTTAGCATGACATAGCATTGACTTAGAATGCTACCTGTCTTAGGAGGTGCTCACTTTAAAAAAGGTATTATTATTATTATTATTACTTTAAGGTTATAATATAAAACGAAAAGAAAGGAATAAGGTAATATTTCCTTAGCACCATTTATATTGGGAAAATCATACAGGATCTAAGATACAATCTCTATCCATGGACTCATAGAGCTATAATACAAGGGGTTGAAGGCATGGCTCAGGTGGTAGAGCACCAGCCAAGGAGGGAAAGTATCAGATACTGAATTCAAATCCTAGTTCTGAGCAAAAAAAAAGTGTGTGTGTGGGACTACAATATAAGATTCAAAGATCAGTAAGATCCTTTCAAACAAGCTAAGTAATCTCTCTGTACCTTAGTTTCCTTATCTGTGTCACTATTTCTCAGGGTTGTTGTACAGGTTAAATGAGGTAATGCGGGTAGGATATTCAGAGCCACACCTCATATCGCTATGGTAAGCACGAATGAATTGTATACTATTTGCTTTGTGCCAAGCAATAAGATGGTTTTTACTCATTAACTACAAGTATTATTGTATTTAAAAATAATGACCAAATACAAAATTGTATACTTGTGGATTGATTCAGGTTCCAACAGGGGAATATGTTCTTATTTTAAAATGTAATGGAAACTCCTTTTGAGAGCAAATAAATTATTAGAAATTCTTAGACATTTATTTTGACATGTAAAGTGTTTGACTCAACATCAGAACAAATTGTTCTCTTCAACAACAAAACAACAGAAAACATTTAAATGCTTTACTTGGCTACTGGCATTATTTTATCTCCTACGTTTTGATTAGAGGATACAGAAATCTCTTGGTGCATAATCTCCTGCATACATATTTCCCAGGGAAGACACCAGATTCTTTGAAAATAGGGACAATCCCCCCATTTATTTACTTATTTATTTGTTTGATGTGTGTGTGTGTGTGTGTGTGTGTGTGTGTGTGTGTGTGTATGTGTGTGTGTTGAGGCAAGGTTTCACTGTATAATAATTTAGGATACATGGAATTTACATAGCTCAGACTGGCCTCAAACTCAAAATCTTCTTGTACAGTAGCTCTAGTTGTGGGATTATAGTCATGCCTTACCATGGCCAGCACTTACTGGTTTTCATATCATTACTGTTATTCATTAAGCTAGTACTTAAAGAATCCAACAACCTTTTTCCTCAACGTAACAGAGAACAGTAGTTTCTCCCTTTAATTACTTACAAGCACAAAAGCTAGTCTGGGTTAAAAAAATTTTATATCCCTGGGAAGAGAGAGATGACAGAAGGTTCTTGGTGGTCAGGATATTGCCACCCTTGAAGTCACTGTGGAAGTCCAGCTATGTCCAACCTGGTGGGGTTCACCTACCTTCGGGAGCGGTGGTATTTTCAGAATTTTCCCTGCCCTGGTCAGCATGGTTGGCAACTGCGCTCCCGCTCTTCGTCCTTCGTAGAACACTGAGAGCGCGATTAATCTTTTTGAAGGATCTGCTTCTGATAGTGGACCGCTCAAAGGGCCGTGCTAAGCAAGAGAGAGATGAGAGAAGGTATTTATTTGTTGATAGAGACCATCTTTTAGCTGGGTATGGTGGCACAGAGCCTGAAATCCCAGCACTCAGGAGTCTGAGGCAGGAGGAGCTTGAATTTGAGATCAGCCTAGGCTATGGATCAGCATCCTGTCTAGAAAAGAGAAGAGAGAAGAGGGGAGAGGAAGGGAAGGAAGCAGAAGAAAGGGGAAAGGAGAGGAAAGAAATAATGTTTATGTATACCCGTAAGTTATATGCATTAAAATATTAAACATAATTACCTCTAGGTGATAGGATTACAGAATTTACCTTCCTATATTTTTATAAAGTAAAATATGCATGTTTTTGAAAAATCTGTGCTTTTCTTCTTTTCTCCCTTGGACTAAAGTGAATACCACAGCACTTTTCTTGGGCAGGCAGGGGAGGTCTGACAGTGTGGGAGTGATAAATCCTCAGGCCTCCCTTCAACCCCTTTCACCAAGTAAGATTACATAGTTCTAATGATCTGAGGTACTCGTGGTTTCATTTCACTTCGGAGAATTGAACACTGAGCCGCTGCCAAAACTACCAGAACCATTTCCCCTTACAAAAAAACATGTTCTAGAACTTTCCACAGTGAATATTCCACTGAGGGCAATCTCAAGGAAGGCCCAGAGCCCATTCCAGGACAACCCAACCCTTTGACTCACCCCTCGTTCGGTTACTCCGGCCAGAGTCCGAAGGGCTGGTTGCTGGCTGGCCATCCTCAGCGGTGGACACGTAGGCAGGGTTGTCCAGGCCTGGCTCGTCGGTCATTAAGGAGATGGCAGCAGCTGCAGACACCTCTGGGGAGAGCGTGCTGGCAGTGAGGCTGGCGCAGCCATCGGGGCAGCCATCTTGTGAACGCCTCTTCCTGTCTTTGGTCAGGCCGTAGTGGGAGGCTCCTTTACAGCTGAACAAAGCCAGGGAAGGTTAGAAAGGCTGTGGCCCTGCTGCCATTGCTCTATCAGACCCCTTCAAATACACAGCTTGCCCCAAATGTCCCTCCTTTCCACACACAGGCACTCAGGACACACTTGTCACGATGTAATGATTTGAGAAAGCAACCTTTGTTTGTTTGGTGCTGGTTCTGGGTACACAGAGCCTGGGTACTGTCCCTGTGCTTTATATTGCTTATAGCTGGTGCCCTATTACTTGAGCTAATGAAGCTAATGACTCCACTCCTGGATTTTTCAGTAGGTAATTGGAGATAAGAAGCTAACAGACATTCCTACTAAAGGCTTGCTTTGAACTGAGATCCTCATAGCTCAGCCTCTTAAGTAGCTAGGATAATAGGTGTGAACCACTGATGCCCAGCAAGAAAGCACTTCTTTTTTTTGTCAGTTGTGGGGCTTGAACTCTGAGCCTAGGCACTGTCCCTGAGCTCTTCAGCTCAAAGTTAGCCACAGTACCACTTCCGGTTTTCTGGTGGTTAATTGGAGATAAGAATCTTACGGTTTTCCTTGCCTGGGCTAGCTTTGAATGGCGATCCTCCGATCTCAGCCTCCTGAGTAGCTAGAATTACAGGTGTAAGCAACCGGCACCCAGCAAGAAATCACTTTTTAAGAAATCCCAATTGCATTCTCTTAACATAATCTCTACCCTGGCTGTTGGACCACAGATGTAAGAAAGTTATAATGTCTACCTGACTAGGGTTTGAAGTGGGGCTATTATCTCTGACTATTGAGATGGGGTAATTCCTTCTTGCTGATGCTTATTTTGAAGTAAGTTTCAAGCACACTCACTTCTTCCTTTTGGGTTAGCTCCTTCACACTGGACATAAATATGAAGCTTCTCCCAGATTCCACATTTAGCTGTCTATGAAATCAGAAAGTCACCATGAAGCCATAGTTTACTCAGCATCACTGTTCCCTAGGGACAAGTATGGTGGCTTCTATCTCTGCCCCCGGGCTGGTCTGACTGGACCTTTCCATTCTTCAGAGGGGCCAGTGGCCTGGGGACGTCTGTGTCCTGGGAAATGCAACTCATTTCCATATCCTCTCATATTGATGGAGTAAAACATCTTTTGTGGGTTTTTTACAAAACATATTTGTTTTCTATCCGTTTCACCAAAAGACAAACTTTGGAAATTAGGCTACTTTATTGGTCCAACAGCCCAAAGCTCAGGAGACCACGGTTTGTGCTGATCTAAGTCAATGTTTTTCCAAGAACATATTTTTATTGCCACTGGGAGACATTATTTTGGTCCACAGGCAATGTTTTTGGTCAGGAAATGGTGATGATTTAACCATCTCATTGCACTGTGGTAAGGATCGTGGGATGCCATGGTTGTAAAAATCAAATCATTCTGAAAAGCCCCTTTAAGAAACAGCAATTTGCATATAATGAATGTTAATTGTATATATTGTCATATCAGTTTATTACACGAAATTTTACATGGTTGAGCCAGGTTTTGGTGGCTCACACCTATAATCATAGCTACTCAGGATCCTGGCTGACACCCGAGGATCACGGGTTCTAAGCCAGCCCCAGGCAGACAAATTATTGAGACTCTATTTCCAAATTAACTACCAAAGAGGCAAATTGGAGGCACAGCTGAAGTGGTAGAGCACCAGTTATGCCAAAAAGTTGACACAGAGCTCAAAGCCCTGAATTCAAGACCCAGGACCATTACTCTCAACAAATAAACGTATCAAACTTGTATGCTTGAAGTAGACTTACTAGATTTACTTGCTTATTTATTTAGAGACAGGGTCTGGACTTGAATTTTGAATCTTCTTGCTGTAGCCTCTTGAGTGGGATTATAAGTGTGTTTCATCATGACTAGCTATGATTAAACTATTTGAAATAAACTTTTGATATCTTATTTGGAGAAATGCCTCATTTTCTCAGGAAACTCAATCAAATGTTGGTCTACAGTTGATACATACACAAAAATTTTACTGCCCTTAAAATTCCAGAACTAGCAGAATGCATCTTTTTTTTTGGATTAGCACCCTTGCCTTAAAATTTACTGAGCTAGGGCATCTTGTGCAATTATTTTACCCTGGTTAAGTCGTATAATCTGCACATACTTTGTATAAAGTTTGAGTTTAAGTTTTGCCATGAATTCAGTACTTTGCTGCATATGTAGTAAATGTTCAGTAAATGGTAGCTATTCCCATAATTCACCTCAGATATTCTTTGGATGTCTGAGGTCAAGATTTTATGTGACAGATCAGGCTGAACATTTTTATTGCCAAATGGCGGTTATGACTCAGGTGCTTTTGCCTGAGTGTGGCCAACACGATCACAGGTTTGTATTATTGCTTATACTATGTCAGAGTCATTCCTGTCACTGAGTTTAATTGCTACTTAAACGTTTTAGAAAATATTACATTATGATTTAGCATTGAAATAAAGTTACTGTATACATGGAAAGTCTTAAAAACAGGGCAGAAGGGTATAAAATTGACATGGATGAAGCAAATACTCCTCCTCAAAAGAAGGTCTGAATAATAAAAGTAATATGACGACTATAAAAAGAGGACTGAACTGAGCACTGGTGCTTATACCTGTAATCCTGGCTACTCAGGAGGCTGAGATCTGAGGATCATGGCTCAAAGCTAGCCCAGGCAGGAAAGTCTGTGAGACTCTTTATCTCCAATTAAGCACCAGAAAACTGGAAGTAGTGCTGTGGCTTAAAGTAGTAGAGCACTAGCCTTGAGCAAAAGAGCTCAGAGACAGTACCCAGACCCTGAGTACAAGTCCTACGACTGACAAAAAACAACAATAAACAAACAAAAACTTTTGAGAAGGGAGAGAGAAGGAAGAGGGACTAAAGAAGAATAACAAGGATGCAAGAATTTGATCAAGGGCTGGTAAGGTGGCTCAGTGGTAGAGCGCATGCCTTGCATGCCAGAGGCACTGGGTTCGATTCCTCAGCACCACATAAGCAAAAAGAAAAAAGCCGGAAGTGGCGCTGTGACTCAAGTGGTAGAGCACTAGCCTTGAGCTGAAGAGCTTAGGGACAGCGCCCAGGCCCAGAGTTCAGGCCCCATGACGGGACCCAAAAAAACAAAAAACAACAACAACAAAAAGAATTTGATCAAATATACATTAAATGCATGTGTATAAATATCACAATGAAATTCTTTTGTATAATGAATTTATGCAAATACATTTTTTTCTGAAAAACGACTGCAATTCCATATTTCTTTGCAAAGAAATAAACAGTTTTTTAAAAAATGTGTTCAGAAAGACATCCTTGAGCAGATGAAAAGCACCTTTGTCATTGAGAAGGACCTTATACTTCACAACAAGTAATATACCCCAGGTCAAGAGATACCAAATTTGCTTAAACAGATTTCAAACCCAGTCTGGTGTGGCCAATTCAGTCAGCATGGAGATAGTTTTCTCTTCCTAAAATTTTTAAAAATAATCTTTAAGGAATTGTACAGAGGAGTTGCCTTTAAAGTGTTTTGGATCACTAAATTGGTGGCATACTTGAAAGTTCCAGTATGATATTGTCTATAATCAATGATGAGATGTGGGTGTTGGGGGGATTTTGTTTTGACACTATATCCTAGGCTGGTCTTGAACTTGCTATGCAGCCCAGGCTAACTTTAAACTTACAAACAACTTGTTTTAGCTTCTCTATTGTTGGGAATCTGGATGTGTGCTACCATTCTTGGCTGAAATGTAGTTTTAATATTGTAGAAGGGGACTATGATTATACAAGCCTCCACCCTCTTCTACAAGAGGAAAATAGACAGTACAAGCCAGCTTACACTGCTAATGCTGCCAACACTGAAGAAGCCCAAGTCCCCTCCCTAGAATTGGTGAGTTTTTACTATATCCATCAGCAACTTTGGCTGGGAATTTTTCTCCTAAAATATAGCTTTAAAAAAAGATTGATATGGGCAATTCAAACACTGGAAGAGACACTGTGTGATGGAAAAACAGAGGCCAGTGTGCATTCGAGCGGTACCAAGTCATAAAATAAATAAAGGAATAAAATAGTTCCATGAGAGCCTTGGTCAGCAACGCATGGGAAGGAAGTTCCTAGACGATTCAGCTGTTCTGGAAACACTTTTTAGAGGGCATCAGTGCCCTTGATCATGTGCTGTGCCAGAGCAGGAAATTAATTTTCCAGTTGGACAACCAGCCTTTACTTTCTTTACTTTCTTGGGGAATCACAGCAGAGCCCAGTGAGAAAACATCTTATTCTGCTGTCTCAGCACTGAAGAGGGAAAGGTATTTTTAAATTAGTTGAATCCCCATGTATACCATTAGGAAACCACTGCTATTTCAGATTCCCGGGCTTCTAAAGATGTGTGTGTGTGTGTGTGTGTGTGTGTGTGTGTGTGTGTGTGTGTATTCCTGAAAACTTTATAAGATGGGTAAGTAGCCTTTTCTTTGGCCTTGTATCCTAGCTGGCATTACAAACTCTGGGGGAAAAGGGGGAATTCATCAAGAAGGAAATATTCCGACTCAAAAGCTTTCTGTGAAAATAAATTCAGGGACAGCCACTCATCCTGGGGTACCATTAGCTATGTCTAGCCTCTTGGCTTAGGTTTAATCTGAGGCATAGAGTGATGGATGAAGGTAGTGGCTTGTACTTACTAATTATCTCTTTTGCAGTGACTAATACTGAGGCCTCTTGATTTACAAGAACAAAAAAAGGGAAGGAGAGGGGAACAGCTGATTAGCCTTGGCCAGCACAGGCCCATACGGTGAACCCTGAGCTGTGTTCAAAGCAAGCAGGATTTATGCTCCCTTTCGGCTTCCCTGAACACTAAGTATTCTCAGGTGGTGATGGCCGTGAACTTGAGGGATGAATTGCAAGGAACATAGAAAATCATTTTTCAACCAAACCACAAACTTTGGATGTGCCATCTGTTCAAACAAGCAATTCAGGGGGAAAAAAAAATAACTGTTCTTGGTAATGTTGAAATGGAATTACGGAGCCAC